TAACGTTATAAAATTAAATTATATTAAATAAAACATAAATAATAATAACGGAAGCTTCATTCAATAAAATGTTAACATGTTATAAAATATAATTAGATTAAATAAAAAAATTATCAATAATAATAATGAAAGCAAGCAAAAATATAAACAGTAAAATTAAATTATATTAAATAAAAAATAATATATAAGAATAATGATGAAAGTTTTGTGCAACAAAATCTAAACATGTTATAAAATGTTATTGTATTAAATAAAAAATAATAATAAATAATAAAAATAATGAAATTAATGGTGAAAGCTTCATGCAATAAAATAAAAACGTTATAAAATGTAATTATATTAAATTAAAATATTAATAATAATCATTAAGTTTTTATGCAATAACATATAAACATGTTAGAAAATTATTTAATTATATAAAATTTAAATTTAATTAATTTTCTGATATTTTATCTCATAATCATGTTCCAAAACCACTTTGCAGTAGTTTTCAGCACAACTGTTCTAACCATTTTTTGTCCACCTGTTCATATACTGTTTCAAACAAAATAAACATCTCACACTAAGTAATCAAAACCATGTAAAATGAATGCTGTTTTTGGGAATTTCTTTTCAAATGCTCCTGTATTCACCTTGTACGGTATTTCTGATAAATATCTAATCTGATATGCAAATAAAACCGGTGGCTCACGGTCAGATCTGGTTTCACAATACAAAAAAGCCTTCTCTGCATTTGTTCCATTAAATGATCTTATAATAGCATTTGGCTTATTATTACATGTGTTTTTATTGAATAGATCCAGGTTATTTTTCATATAAGCTGTAATGCACCTGTGTATATTCACATAGTTCGCTTTCAGTATATTCCAATGAAGACATTTCAAGCATTTTTAAGCAATATGAGATTGATGCTAAGCCATATGAAAGACTCACAGAACCTACAGACACTCTCTGAGGAATGTTTGTCCTGCATCATTTTCTCATGCCTGTGTGCTGCTGTTGAAGCTGTGCCAGTGCTATTTGGATGAAGCCGATGTTTATTTGACTAGACCTTCCTGAACCCACTGACCAACATGTGCAGCCTATGAATATATCTTTGTGCAGAATAAACACTACATTGTGTTTCTTCATCCTCTCACTGACGAAGAGGCATTTGTCCTGAAGGAAAACAAATGTTGTGAAACACATCATGGAGAACTATGTAAATGAGTGGTTAAGCTACAGTATGTGCTGAGATCTGCCATGCGATATGCAGTTTAAAAAAAATACCTAAAAGTTTTTTAGGTGATTACCGCTCTGTGTCTCTACAAATGTGTTGATTTCTTCTGGTTTGTTTGGGATATTTAATACTTCATGTCTATTTAAAGGGGTTCAATGTGGAAATGGCTCATCATGGGTGAATAATATTTCAGAGAGAAAATTGCAAGTGAACGTGAGGGTTCAATTCAACAAAATTGAGCTGTTTTGTGCAATAAAATGACTATTTCAAAAGTAGACATTTGTTTTTTTATCAGTGATCATGTTAACCAGATTATTAAACTGGAGATCTCATCAATTTTTTTTAAATTGAATTTTAAAATTAATTTATTAGCAATAATATTAAAAGCTTCATGTAATATAATATAAACATGTTATAAATGTAATTATTTTAAATTTTAAAATATAATCATTAATAATAGTAATGAAACCTTCATGCAATTAAATATAAACATTAAATGAAATTACATAAATTAAATTAAATTAAATTAAATTACTTTTTGTCTGTTTGAAATCAGTGGTGTTTAATATGGAAATAGCTCATAGGTGTATAACATTTCAGAGAGAAAAGTTCAAGTAAACATGAGGGTTCATCTCCTCAAAATTGAGCTGTTTTTATGCAGTAGAATGACTTTATTTAGAAAAGTAGTCGTTTGTTTTCATCAGTGATCGTGCAACCCAGTTTTTTTTTTAAAAGAAAATCACTGTTTTACAGAACACATTCATTAAAATGTTATTCAGTAAAAAAAACTGTTTATATAAACTTAAAAAGATTTCTCATGCATATTTAGAACAAGAATTATTTTTTTACATAATAAAAGACTTATCGAAATCACATCACAGCCCCCAAACATTATGTTCATTAAAACCAGAAGTCAGATAGAAGCTTTTAAATCATTTAGAAAAGTGTCACTTTTGATGTGTCCTTTTTTACATAAACATGTCTGTTGCACAGAATGACAATGTAACTTTATGTCATCGAATATTTTTTTCACATATTAAAATATGCACTTTACATCTAACATGATTTCTCATATTTTAAATTTACTGTAAAATTAGTTTAATGTGCACACCAAAATGTTTCAGCCATGAACCATTAATGCAAATGCATATATTAATACAAACAACAAAGAGTGTCATGCAATAAAACACAAATACTTGTTCATTGTGACTTTAATGGTTTTAAAAACAGTTTGTTTATATGGTGACATAACATCTGCATTTTAAATCTAAATATGCAAGACTTCACAATATATCGTTTGAGCCTCGATATCGCAATGTGTGCGTCCGCCGTAGTCACACCATAGAATTTGCAGTGTTGATTTGGGATTACAATGCATCCAGAAAGTATTCATACCACTTCACTTTTTCCACATTTTGTATGTTACAGCCTTATTCCAAAGTGGTTTAAATTCATTTATTTCTTCAAAATTCTAACCAAAATACCCCATAATGGCAATGTTAAAAAAAGATTATTTGAAATTGTTAAAAATGTATTTAAAAAAAAACCCCTGAAAAATCATGTTCATAAGTATTCACAGCCTTTAAAGCTCTAAATGGAGCTCAGGTACATTCTGTTTCCACTGATTATTCTTGAGATGTTTCAGCAGCTTAATTGGAGTTCACCTGTGGTACATTCAGTTGATTGGACATGATTTAAAAAGGCAAACACAATAAGGTCCTAGGGTTGACAGTGCATGTCAAAGCACAAACCAATCATGAAGACAAAGGAATTGTCCGTAGACCTTCGAGACAGAAGGCACAAGGCTGGGAAAGGTTACAGAAAAATTTCTGCTGCTCTGCCATCTAAGCTGAGAAGGGCCTTAGTCAGGGAGGTGATCAATAACACGATGGTCACTCTGTCTGAGCTTCAGTAAAAATCAAGAAAGTTTTTTATTTCTTTACTGTTTTCTACAGGAGGTACTTTAGAAACGGAATGATAGAAGAGAAAAGGTTTTACAGTATTGTGTACAGTGAACAGAATATCCATGAAGCAAACAAGAGCATTCTGAACTAAAAAACAACAGCAAAAAGCCCAGATATTAGTGTATGGATTCTGTATTTTTTAGTTGGACGTCTACAGTGTGTCAGAGTCAGTGGCGCTCTTTCAATGTTGTTCCTTTGGTTCCCCTCAAGGTTGTTGCCTCTCACCTCAACTTGCACACTAATGATTGTTGGAATATTTAAAGAAACTGTCATATCATAAAATATGCTGATGATTCGGGGATTGTGAGTCTCCTCATCGTAATTGACGTAGTGTTGACATTTCAACCTAGCACCCAGGCTGTCTATTAAAAAGTTCAACATAGACAGTTTTGTTTCTGAGGAAACTTAGATCATTTTGGGTTTGTGCCTCTACGATGATGCTGTTTTATGAACAATTTATTGAATCTGTTTTATCTTTCTGCATTGTAACTTGGTACGGTAATCTGAGGCTGTGAAATAAGAACAGGTTGAGTAGCCTTGTGAGGATGGCATGCAAAATCATTGGTTTTAACTAAACTGGTTCAATGGTAATTTATCATAATTATGTTTTAAAGAGAGCTCAGGGATGCACCGTGGATCACCTATTGTACTGTGTTTCAGCCTCTGCCATCAGGATGTCATTTTACAGTTCATATTTGCAGGTCAAATAGAATTAAAAACAACAACAAAATTACTGTTTCTAATCTTTGTGATCATCAGAGTTAGGCGTCATGTTTTCATTGACATCACTCTGCAAAGTCCTGCTTTTACTGTATAAGTATAAATGTAATAGAAATGAATACCCCCTGCCACTGAGCCCAGTTTACCCAATATAAATCAGCTGTGTGTCAGTTATACAATTGTTTGTGTATTATCAGCTGAGACACATTTTTGATATTAACATTGCTTTTGAACTGATATCATTGCCAGAGGTGTACTTAACCAATAAGCCAGGTAAGCAGCCACTTAGGGCCCCAGGAAATTAGGGGGCCCCGACCAATGCCAAGAAGTCTATATTAATCATATAGCTCTATTATAATTTTTCTATCATTTGTTGTCAAATCTGTCTATAATCATTAGATTTTAACGTCATTACTTATTTTCTAAATCGAGGCCCCCATGAATAGTGGAACCTTCCTCCTGCACATGCAAATATTCAAATCTAATCACACGAATCACAAGTATGGCTAATCAATTGTACATAGTTTGTGAACTTGTTTTTTATTTGTGAATTTATTGTATTTAGCTTTACACTATGAAGGTTACACTTAAAATATATTTTTAACATGCAGTTCCTTAACCAAAAAAAAAAAAAAAAAATATATATATATATATATATATATATATATATATATATATATATATATATATATATATAGACAAAAGACTGATGCTGTGCTCACTGTGTTTAGAGTTTTGAAAATGTGACAACTGATTGGACAAACGCTTGTTAGCAACAGAAAAAAAACTAATTCATCTGGTGAAATTGTATTTATATTGCAATAAAATTAAGAATTAATCGTTCATCATGACTTTAATGCTTTTAAAAACATTTTATTATGTTGATATGGTCATCTAAAATCTGCATTTTAAATCTATATCTATAATTTAGCTCTCTAACTACAGTAATATTTAAGTATGACTAGTTTCACAAGGCATGACATCCCATATTTCTCTGTTTTCCAACTCATTTTTTGGGATGCGTGAGTGAGGAGAGGCGGGACGGCGCGTGACATCACTCATCTGTATAAAAGCCCCAGCTGTGTCTGTGCGCTCGCGCTGTGAGGCTGCAGAGAAAGAGAGAGAGAGAGAGGCGCGCGCACGCTCGCTCCAGCAAACAAAGAGACCCGTCAACATCATCCACGGTGCACCAGCAGATCCCGCTCCAGCAAGGCCACGAGCTGCAACCATGACTGCAAACGGAACCAGCGACATGCTCAAAATCCAATTCGGATTGATCAACTGCGGGAACAAGTACCTCACGGCCGAGACCTTCGGCTTCAAGATCAATGCATCAGCCACCAGCATGAAGAAGAAGCAGATTTGGACCCTGGAGCAAGACGGAGATGATTCAAACATGTTCTTCCTGAAGAGCCACCTGGGACGGTACATCGCAGCCGACAAAGACGGCAACGTGACGGGTGACAGCGAGACCCCGGGCGAGGACTGTCGCTTCATAATCACCGCACATGATGATGGGCGCTGGTCACTGCAGTCCGAGCCGCACAAGCGCTACCTGGGCGGCACCGAGGACAGGATAACCTGCTTCGCCCAGACCATCTCCATCGCGGAGAAATGGAGCGTGCACATCGCCATGCACCCACAGGTCAACATCTTCAGCGTGACTAGAAAAAGGTACGCGCACCTGAGCTCTGAGCAGAACGAGATAGCCATCGACCGGGATGTACCCTGGGGCGTGGATTCCCTCATCACCCTGGTCTTCCAGGACCAGAGGTACCACCTTCAGACCTCCGACAACCGCTTCCTGAAGAACGACGGCAGCCTGTCCCAGACGGCGGATAAGACTACGGGTTACACGCTGGAGTTCAGGTCTGGGAAGGTGGCCTTCAGAGACTGCACCGGGAAGTACCTAGCTCCCTCTGGTCCCAGTGGAACCATGAAGTCCGGCAAGAGCATGAAGGTTGGCAAGGATGAGCTCTTCGTTCTGGAGCAGAGCCATCCGCAAGTGGTCCTCACCGCTGGCAACGACAGGAATGTGTCCACCAGACAAGGTAAATGATGCCGCTTTGTTGTCGCTTAATGATGTGTTCATCCAGCAGAACGCCTGGTACATATGTGGGTATGATCAGTCAGGGTTGGGTTCCTATAAATCCTCCATAATTATCTACAGCTCATTCTAAATTATAGATATCCAGCTCTCGTGGTTGCTGTGTGCAGGGGTGGATCAGTGCAAAAGCTTTGAGCATCCTGCAGTTTAGTCGAATGTTTCCTGGAAAGATCATTTTAATGGTTAATCCGGTTGTGCATCAAAGTGAGGATCCATTTTCCCAACGCTTTTTCCTTCTGATGGTCCCAGTGGGTTATTGTCACAACAGAAATCCGTAATCTGAGAGTGAAATCAATGCTCAAGTCCCCCGTCTGCAGATTTGCACAATCACTCTTCTGTAAATTCCATAACGGCTGTATTTTGGAGAGGTCAGTGTGCTGTAATTAAGTTGAGAGTCAAGGCGATCATTACTGTAAACACCCAGAGGAATTGACCTGAGACTGCCAGACTGAAATAATGGATCAAATTATATAGCGCTGTATGCTGGACTGGTGAAAAATATTGTGCTTTTCAGATTCCCCATTGCTGCTCAACTGCCCTATTAGTGCTGGAAATGAAATGTGGTGTTCTGCTGTGTTTTAATAAGTGCTTAATTGAAAAAAATGACATGCATTAGGAGAGGATGTCTGGGATTTGCTTGGCTCTGGTTTGCCAGTATTGCTGGATGAGGCAGGATAGTGCCAGTGTGCTGGGCCTTTGCCAAGATGCACGTGGTCTCTGCAGGTCAGGTTTGGCTCCTCTGTATAGCCATTGTTTTATAGACTTGACCTCTTTAATGCTTTTGATTTGTATGGTAGCACAAGATTTCTTCTGTCCTCTAAAAGCAATTGATTTGCGCAAAGCGATCTGGACTTAATTATTATGCACCACATCAAATCACATGTGTTCCATCATAATGCACCAATACCCCACCAGTGCTCTCCATTCACTCTTTCCCAAGATCAAATATTTGCCTCTAGGGACAAAAACCTTAAAGGAACGAGACTCAATATTTGCGACAAGCTCCTTTGAGCCTGTCTTCAGAAAATGTGTGAGGGGGCCGAGATTTCAGGCGTGTGCTGAGGGTAGAGGGAGAACAAAGACAGCATGCTCTGGGCCCCATCTCACCATGCAGCCCAGCAGCTGAACAATAGAGCCTCGCTATGCACAAGTTTAGCCATTTCAGCACGCACAAAAACACTACTCTCACTTAAATGCATCTGTCTTAAAAGATTAGGAGTTTCTCTCTTCGCTGGCCTGCTCTTCCTTCCTTTGTGGCAAGGACATCGGATGTCTGTCATTCCATGAATGGTTTCCCAGTGTGTTGCATCATATATTGTACTCATTTGAGAATTTTTTTTCCTCCTATATGATCGCAGCTGCTCGACCTTGTTGACCGATGAGCTGATTTCAGTGTTTATTAGTGCTCTAAATGTGAAATAAATGTAAAGCAATCAAAATGTATGTCTCAACATTATCTCGTGGCCAAGGTTAAAGGCTTTTTTCATTGGGGAATAGAAGCCCTGCAGTTGTCGTGTGGATAGATCGAGCATTGGCAGTCGGGCGTCAGGCGATGGGGGTTGGGGGTGTGTCTGCTGGTGGCTTAAAAGATCCTCCCAAACCATTTAAATGCCGGGTGAGGATGCATACCTCCCTAGAATGATTGAGAGGATTTTTTTTTTTTCTTCTGCCTGTTGTCCTGCCCGAGACTGATTTAGAGCAAGTCTTCGGGCGTCTTAGTCATTCTCGTGTGCAGATCTTCCATTTGCAGCCATGTGTTTCTCATCTTGGTCATTTATTTTCCTTGCTCATTCAGGCACGCATATTTCTGGGGAAACTTAATCTGCCTTTCAGAGGCCAAGTTGCAGCAGTGGTAATACACAATTTCATGTAGATGTATTATGAGTAGGTATGGGCTTGGAAAAAGATTCTGACGGTATGATAACGTTGGATAAAAATATCACAGTATTGCGGTATTGTGATTACTGTTCTAAAATATATATTTTTAAAATGTTTGGGTAAAAAAACTAAAACTTTTTTCCCCCTTTCTACACAATATATTTAATTTTTTTTTTAAGATTTATAACATTTTGGAGCAGTAAACATGTCAGGCTAAATAATTGAAATGAATCATTGACTTCTCTTGTCTTCATTAGTTTAAAAAAAACACAGATTTCTTTACATTTTAAGTGGCATCTTTAAACATATTTATTGCTAAAGATACTGTTGCCCTAAAAAACACATGCACATACCTTAGAAACATTTACAGAAAATCTTGGCGGATTCAAACTTTTGACTTTTCCAAACCGCTATATTGTCTCATGCCTAATTAGGAGCCTGGTGAAACTCTAACACGAAAGCAATCAGATGAAAAATCTATGTGACGGGTTTGTTTGAAGAATGAACCACAATGCTTTAACAGGATTCACATTTTTTGGCAGGATTCATTCTTAGAATAAGGCTTAAAGGGATCATTCACTCACAATTTTTTAATTGTCATCATTTACTTAACCTTCACTTGTTCCAAACCTTTACAAGTTTCTTTCTTCTGTTGAACACTAAAGAAGAAATGGAGAACGTGTAGAAGTTTTTAACTCTTTGTGGCCTTTTCCAACTTCACAAATGTGGTTATTGAGTGTTTGCCTAATCTTAGAACATTTAGTATTGACTTGAAACGTTATTATGAATCTTTCTGCCTATCGTTAAATAAGAAAGCTGCCAAAACATCTGAACTGCTGGAAAAGTAATATAATCATTATAAGCATTACTTTTAGATTATCAGATCCCTTATGGTATGACTATGTAACAATCTTAATCATTTAGTTATGACTTTTTTTAAAATTAGGTTTTCTTTATATATATATATATATATATATATATATATATATATATATATATATATATATATATATATATATATATATATATATATATATATATATATATATATTTGTTTTTTTTTTTTTTTTTTCAAATTTTTACAATTGAATGTTTTTTGTATCCCCTTTCACTTGTGTTAATAAAAAAAATATAAAGAATATATTTTGAAGAGTCCTGAAAAACTGTCACAACTGACTTTCACAGTATTTGTTTTTTGTGCCAATGGCTAAATGTTTTCAGCTAAAAATATTTAGTGATTAACAGAAGATAGCAACTCATAAAGGTTTATAATGACTTGTGGGTGAGTAAACACTGAGCAGCCTTAATTTTTGGGTGAACTATCCCTTTAATATATATATATATATATATATATATATATATATATATATATATATATATATATATATATATATATATAGATAGATAGATAGATAGATAGATAGATAGATAGATAGATAGATAGATAGATAGATAGATAGATAGATAGATAGATAGAGAGAGAGAGAAACTGCAGCTCTTACGCTCTTAATAAAGCTTTAATATTTCCCTCCAAAATCCTGACATCAAATTATGTTTTCCTTTCCTAAGAGGTTTAGACCATAAACGCAAGCTTTATCTGATGTCTGTTTGTCTATATGCATACAATGGAGTTTAATTAGATTTCCTGTAGTAGAGCACTGGTGGTCTGGTCTTTCAATAAGCTCTGTGAATCTAAACTGCAAACCGGATGCATTGACCATTGTTGTCCTGAAGCTTCCCACTAAGCATCCTGGCATATATGGCAGCCCAGAATTCCTAAGGAGATTAACTCTGTGTGTGAGGAGGAGGCCCGAGCAATTGCCAGACTGATAGTCCCTGGTATCCAACACCCTTAAGTCAAATAATCTCAAAGATCAGAATCTCTACTCTGTCGTCAACTCGCTCTCTGCTTACTCCGCATGCCTCATCCAGATCAAAGATGTGATACTGAAGAGTCAGAGTTTGTGGTTTTTATAATGTGGTTTTAAAATATGTCGATCTTGTGTTTGTCAGGCATGGATCTCTCTGCTAACCAAGATGAGGAAGGAGACCAGGAGACCTTCCAGATGGAGATCAGTAAGGACACAAAGAAGTGTGCCTTTAGGACCTGCACTGGCAAATACTGGACCCTCACAGCCAACGGTGGCCTCCAATGCACTGCCTCTACCAAGTGAGTGTAAATCACAGTACATGCTTTACTTTTGACTGTTGTATGTGCTTAGTGTTTGCAGTCATTCTACATTAAGCTTTCTTTAGATCGGGGATGCCAAAAGTAGTTCTTATAAATGACTAAAAACCGAACTTGATTAAGGCTAGTGGGCAGAAGGTAAATATAGTTGCCATGGGTAATTTAGGAGTTTAGTGGCGAGCCAAGCACTTCTGTTCTACTGAATGCCTTTTAAAAGTGGAGAATCAGCTCCTGATTGGTGCGCCAAGTGCATCAAAATGGTGATTGATGGCCTTCTTGACCAATAGTTGCACACCTAGGACAGGACAGGGTACACAACAGAAGAGAGAAGAGAAAAACAGAAAACATGTCTTGGCCCACACGGAATCTGCGCTTGCAGAAATCCGCAGATTTTAAGCCCGTCCAGTCTATTTATTTAGTTTTGTGTACATTTATATTTATTCAGTTTTTAAATCATTTAAGTAAAATTAATGAGTAATATGAAAACTTGTGATTTTCTTACAATACAGTTTCTAAAGTAATAATTTCTGTCTTTTAAGTAAAATGGTTCCCGACTCGGGTGTCCTTGCCCACAAGGGGGGCTCAGCAAGCTCTGTGGGGGGTTGCGTCATATAAAAAAAAAAAATTAGCAGTTGACAATTAGAAGAACAATCATGTTGCCCAAGTTCATTTCATCCCCTGGATGACCAAAAAAGAGGATAAATTTGTAATTCATCCTCCACTGATTCGCCTTCAGCAGCTTATACTAATGACCAAATCATAAAGGACCCAGGTGAGGAAGCTCCAAACAATTCGGGTCGCAGCGCTAGCAATACTGGAAAAAATAAATGCAGGAAATACCAAGATAGTTACCTGAACTATGGTTCAATTCCATTTTCTAGACGCAAAGAGTGCCTGACTTTGCCACACTGCATTATCTGCTTCAAAGTTCTAATGCATTCTAACTAATGCATCAGGCCATCAAAATTATTAAGACATTTGCAGATTACTCATCTCCAATACTTCAACAAGTTGAGCATTTTTTTGTAAAAGAATTGACACACACACAAAATGAGAATAGGGACATCACAGCTACTGACAAGAATCTTAAAAATGGGCAACTAATATAGGGCCAATTTAAAGGCCAAGGCTTGCGTTTTTCAGTTACAAATGGCCTACTGATGTTTAACTTTTATGTTTTACATTAGGCTGTTATTTTGTGCAAAAACAAATCTAGATATAGGAATAAACATACTGTTTGTTTAAAAACGTACTTATATGAGTGATAATATTAAGTTTTTAGTTACGATACACCCTCAATCATTCTGCATTAATCCGCACACTTTTCACAATATTCTGTGCAGAAATAGCAAAAATTGTCCCCAGATTCTGTCTGCCCTATCGATGTCTTCTGCACAGTCCTCTGTGTGCTGAGTGACAATATTTAAATTGTTAAAAATCTGGGTCATTTCCAAGATTTACTTGAAACATTTAATTTCAGCTTTTGTAGCTCAGCAATAAACAAACAAACAAAAGGCTTCGTCAAATTAGAAATTACGATCTCTTTAAAAGCATTCGCCCGACCCCTTCATCCCATCTGAGAAGAGAAGAAAGTGAGAAGGATGGAGGGCCAAATCAAAGGTTAAATTAGCCACATTTCCACTACTGCGCCTAAATCGAGCGAGCCAGGGTGGTCCAAGGCCAGGCGCGTTTCCACTGTCACTTCCCGTGCCTGATCAGGCCAAAGCAGGGCTTCCTCTGGGTCAGCGGTTGTCGAGAGTTTTTGTCAAGTTTAAAATGTGTTTATGCGAGCGCATGTAGATGTCTGTATGTGTGTACATTTTATATGTGAAGTTAAATGAATTTGCAATGTTATGTATTTACTTGTAATCTTGTGTAATTCAATTCATCTTTGCTGAATAAAATGGCAATAGAGGGAGAAAAGGCCTCACTGCCACCAAACCTTTGCAACATTTACTTTTTATATTTGTTTTGTTACCCGTCTGTTTTTTTCCTGGCTTTTGCTGGAATGTCATATTCTGGAAGACTTTAATGAAATGACATTTTACAAAGTTACACTTGGACAAATGTTAGAATTTTTATCATGTATTAACACTAAAAATCTTATTTAATTAATTTATTGATTTGTTTGTTGTTTTTAATTTATTTAATTTATTGTTGAAATATTCTTGCCATGAAAATAGTCTTGGTTGCTGACATGGCATTAAATAAATACATTACATTGCATGTATGTCATAAAAAATGCAGATTTCTGAACGAAGTGTTAGAAGATAACATTATTTCTTCAGGCACAGGTTCATCTTTTTTTTATTATAATTTTTTTAATAAATTGTATTGCTTTGATGATTGGCATATCTACATTTATTTGTATGATCTCCTCTTCCAGGTCTGCTAACTGCTACTTTGACATTGAGTGGCGTGGGAAGAAGATAACCCTGCGTGCCACCAATGGAAAATATGTGGCCGCCAAAAAGAATGGACAGCTCGCTGCCACTATTGACTCAGCAGGTGGGTGTGTGGTGTTGTACAGTTTCCGCTGTTTCAACCTTTTGTTTGGGAATGATGCAGTGATTTAGTGGACTGTATGTTGATGGATTGCCACTCAATTGGTGGCCGTTTTAAATGGAGCACTTTAACAGCACAAACACATTAAGTGCTTGCCTATTGTGAGACTCTTTGGGAAATTACTTTTTCAGGTGAGACCGAGGAGTTCCTGATGAAGCTCATCAATAGGCCTCTTATTGTGCTGAGAGGAGAACATGGCTTCATTGGCTGCAGGAGAGTGACTGGAACTCTGGACTCCAACCGCTCCTCTTATGACGTTTTTGGGTTGGACTTTAATGATGGAGCCTACAGCTTACGAGGTTTGTTTGCAATTCAATAATGCTTAAACATGGTGTTACATTTTTGATTTGGCATTCGTTCAATTAGATCACAAGTAGATGAAGGAGACACATTTGTGTTTACATGTTTAATCTTTTTTTTTCCTCTATGTGTGGGAGCTTGTATGGATGGTGTCTGAGATTTAAGTCTATTATTGCAAAATAAATTCATACAGTTTACCTAAGAATAGGGATGCTCCGATCGATTGGCCAAAGATCGGTATTGGCTGATGATCACATTTCATGACTTCATCGGTACTCGTTGATCTGGCCAATCTCATGAACCGATCGCAGGTGTTTGTTTTCAAGCAGAGGAAGATGCACCTGGGTTATGCCTCAGCGGCGCTATAACACATGAGCAATGCTTCCAAATTGCATTATTAGTCATTTTTATAACCATTTTTAAAATCTGTTTTATCTATTCTCTTTTTGTAAAGCTGCTTCTGACCATTACATGTATGCAAAATCCTTAATTTATTCTCTTAGGTAAGGTGAGATCTCATACTTAAAGGGTAATTGTGCTTATGCAATGGCAGTTATATAAAGCTTGAAGCATCAGAATCGGTACTCTGTATCGACTGAATACCATGACAAGGAATTGGTGCTACGTATCGGCTGCGAAAATCTGATTGGAGCATCCCTACTTAATGTTGTGTGAAAAATGCAGTGGTAATTTTGTCAATGAAAACGACTTGACACTGACAGACACTTGACCAGTCTACTGCCCCAGTAACAGGACTGAATGTGCGCACTATGATTCAAACATTTAATGAGTGCAACAGTGCAATGCAGTGGATTATAATAAATATTATTAGTTAGTTTTTATCTTTTTGATATTTTAGTTTGATCTCTTTTCGTCAGCAATAATGGAGTGTTTTTTTCATTAGATGAGTGGGTCAAAGTGTGCACATTTATAGGTCCTCTGCGTTAGTAACCTACCTGAAAACTGTCAAGTTTTTTGTGTGTCAAGCTAATTGACCTCATTCTGCAATGTAGAAGTGAGGTTATTTTTGCAATTTGCTTTAGAATATTATATACAGTCGCCTATATATGGGAGAAATGACTAGGAATAACAGATACAATTCAATTCAGCTTTATTTGTATAGTTCTTTTACAATGTAGATTGTGTCAAAGCAGCTTCACATAAATGGTCATAGTAACTGGATCAGGGTAGTTCAGTTTCTAGTGTTTAAGTTCAGTTCAGTTTAGCTCAGTTCAGTGTGGTTTGAAGTCATTATTGAGAGTCTAAACACTGAAGAGCAAATTCATCAATAAGTAGCTTTTCAGATCCTGAACCATGCAAGCCAGTGGCGACAGCGGAGAGGGAAAAAAACTTCACCTATAGGAGAGTGAAGAAAAGAACCTTGAGAGAAAAAGACTCACTTCGGCATGACCATTTTAATTTCTTTGCTGGCCAAAAGTCTTGTGCAGAGCTGCAGTCTCAGCAGTGGAGATGGCAGAAAACACTATAAAAACAAGTGTTCATAGCCATGTATATAAAGTGAGTAATATAATAATAATAATAGTAATAATAATAATAAATATCTGTTTGCAGCATCAACCAGCATAACAATCCATTTTTTTACCTTTTTACATCAATTCCATGTGTTCAATAAAAAGGTCAGACGAGGACTTTCTTCAATGTTAAACAAATTAGTAACCTATTGGATACAAATGAATGATTCGATTCACAGAATTCTGGTATCCCCAATGTATCGCAAGAATTACATTCAGGAGGTGCTCAACAACTTTCATTTCCTGACCTTGAGGCATCTGATATTAACAGGTGGAGTTGGTGAAATGTGTCACTTGTCAATCATTCTCCAGTCCTCTATTGGCCGCACCCATACATGCATACGTCCTCTTTTTCTACAAATTCTCTGCACAACATTAAAAGCATAAGACCTCTCAACTGTCCATATTCTGTGTTCGGTTTCAATCTCTGCTCACAGGAAGTTTAACTGCAGTGCTCAAGTTAATTTTAGACAATCAGGTCTTTGCATTTCTATTAGCTTCATCTACTTCTGCAAAAATGCTTCATTAGTATGCAAGGCATATCAAACTCGAGAGGAAATTTAGTTAATATAGATCACCTTTAAGCAATACAAATACAATGGTTTAATGAGAAGAAAAAGAGACAAAAATAATAAAAAAATATATTCCTTTCTCCCAACAACGTCTAAAAATCAATGGAAATGGTTGAGACCGGATTCTTGAGCTGTGAAGAATATATTCATTTTAGTACTGATGCCACAAAATTACACAATATTCTGTGTATTTGGGTTAGAATCAGGACTGCTAAATCATTATGCTTTTACACTTTTCTGCCATCATTCCAAATTTGCACTTTCAGAATGTTTGGGCAGATTTTAAATCCTGACTAAACTAGTGCCCTCGACATCATGTGGTGTTTAAGAATTTGGTCAGTTTGCAGAAAGTAGACAATGTTTTTTGGCTATTTGACCACATTAACGTTTACACTTTCTATAATTCTGGAAGAATGCAATTTCAACTGTTCTGCAAGGGATTGAAGGTAAATTTCAGACCCCGTTTTCACCTGTATTCGGCTTTGTTGACTATGGGACAAATGACTAAGAATAACAAATGGCAGAAAACACTCTACAAACAAGTGTGTTCATGATCATACATAAAAAGAGAAGTAATCTAATAAGAAAATATCGGTTTGCAACATCAACCAGCATAACTAGACATTTTGAATATTCGAGGGCTGAATCTCAAGCCGTGAAAAATAAAGTCAATAGGCAAAAATAATTTTTCGCTCATATTTTCACAGATTAAATTAACATGAACAATGGAAAGCAATTCATAGAGCAGCAGCTTTCATTTTAGTACTGCCAGCCACAAAATGACACAATTATTCTGTGTATTTGGGTTAGAATCTGGACTGCTAAATCTTTATGCTCATTACACTTCTGCAATCATACCAAAATTACACTTTCAGACTTTTAAAATCTTTGAATCCTTACTAACTAGTGTACTCATCATGTGTTGTTTAGGAATTTAAGTTTGCAGTGAGTAGACAAGGTTTTTTGGCTATTTGAGCACATTTAACCAAATGAAGGTTTACACTTCCTATAATTCTGGTAGATTGCATTTTCAATTACCTCTGGAAGTGATTGAAAGTAAATTTCAGGCCCCATTTTCACCTGTTGATTTGTGATTTTTATGTTGACTAAAACAATTAAAATTACCTCAAAACTACCATCATTTTCTCTCCCTTGCATACTTTTTTAGAATCTTTATTCTGTTGAATAATGAAGATCTTATGTAGAATGCTGGTTACTGGCACCAGTTGATTTCCATAGTTGGAAAGTCAGTGGGTACCATCATTCTTCAAAATTATCAAAACATGTTGACTCTTTACTTGACTCCTCAAATCTCTTTTCAGATTGCACAGGGAAGTACTGGATGGTGGGCAGTGAATCAAACGTGCTGAGCAGTAGCGACACCCCGGTAGACTTCTTCCTGGAGTTTTGCGACTACAACAAAGTTGCGATCAAGACAACAGAGGGGAAATACCTGAAGGGCGATCACGCTGGTGTTCTGAAGGCCAACGCCGACGATCTGGACAGCTCCACTATGTGGGAGTACTAAGAGCACTCAAGTAACCACTGTGGCTTTATCTTTCAGTTTTTTCCCTTTTCTGTTATGCGTTTTGAATGGTTTCTGAATACAAGCGAGCACACGGGGCTAATAGCAGAGAGAAACCCAAAGGTGAAGGGGCTTACTTTTAGTCACGTATACTCCAGTCTGTCTAAGTACTTTGGGTGCCATGGTTTTCGATGACCTGACGAGTGGCCAAAATGGGGACTTCTGGGACTTAACTGGCATCCAAATTTGTGTTGTGTGGTTAAAGCACATCTCATGTCATCTCTTAATCTGTCCTAATATTTGACTGGCATGTCTCCACTTCTCTGGAAGATCGGCTATGCGGGCGCCACAAGATTTTTGATGTACCAGATTGTAGCGTGATCCTTCCCCCTCGTCTTTGCACAGTCCCGTACGAGCCTCACACTCTTAAATATTAACACATATAGTGAAATATGTCAAAGAAAAACCTTGTGACTGTGAGCTATTGATGTATGCCTCCTGTTATAATGCCAGTCACAAGTACCTACCCTCTCGATCAGAGGGCGAAGGCAGTATTTACAGGTAAATGTATGAATGTTTTGCTTTTCTTTTTCCATAAAGAGCAATGAAGGATGGCTCTTAAACCACTGAAATGAGCTATATTGTTTTGTTTTTGTGACGTTTGAAGTACGGCAGTGATCTGATGTGTGCTGCCAAACTATTTGTGCCATTAGAATCATTTTAATGTTTCAAAAGAGGAAAACCGAGACAAACTGGATTGGTACTGTACAGTCCCTCATCTCAAGATTAGAGTTAAACCTAGAATTGTAAATGGGTGTGGGAAAGAAATATAGATATTAAAATGAGAAATGTTTTCTGCAACTCAGAAGTGATGTCATCGTTAGATTGTGTGCTGTAGCTGTGGATGTGATGATACCGACATGAGGTATGTTGTTGCAGGTTCAACACAGTATTTATGGTAAATTAAACCACTTTTCCCTCTCGATCCTGACAAATCCTAATGGAATGGCGGGTCTGCGTTCACTGGAGACGTCTGGAAGCTGGGAAAGTCACTGGAAATCTCATCTAACACTTGTGTTGTTGTTTTTCGAGAAGGCACAGACATTATCATGAACCTTATTCTGTTCTCCACATTAGTACATTAACACATACTTAAAAAACCAAAATGAAGACATTATCACCGATTAAAGACTTAAACTGGTGCTTAATTTGACTTCAGGTGTGCATTAAACGGAGCCACTTTATACCTGCTTAAGTACTGTTTATACCACTTCTTGAATATCATTTCTTATAATAACCCCGCATTGCTAAGGGAATGATAATGACTGTGCCTTATATAAGGCCATTAAGAGAGAAAAAAAGACATTCCACATCTATACTTTGTAAAGACTTTACAAATGTCTTTTTATATTGTTTTGATATTATGGTTCTGTTTCCTCATGTGCCATGGGTACAAATGAAATCCGGAAATAAATGCGGTTTGAATATGAAACTATTTTGTTTATTTCTTTAACATACACATTCAATGATTATCATGTTATTCGTTAATAATTGTGTTGTTGATTTTTGTTCTTAAACTTGTTCTGATTGATGATTATTAGTGATTTAAAAACTAATAAGTGGTCACGCGCACGTCTTCTGCGTAAAACACGCCCAATCAACTCCTTTCTTCACGGTCTTTCTTCGCGATCTTTCACCAGTCTTGTGAAATACGAGATGTTTTCTACAGACGCGATGCCGTTTGTATAATTCCTCCAAACCACTTCAAACACTGTAAACACCTGATATTGATTTATTTATCTGCGTTTTAACCGTTCTGAATGTCACTCGAGCAGTCCACCTGTCTGACTTCCGTGGTCATCGGCTTGTGGTTGATGTAGCTATCTTTAGTTTGCACTTGAACATTCTTGTAGACCATTTATTTACTTGCAGCTTAATCGGAAGTCTTGCTCATCAATTTTAAGAGTTAAAAAAATCTTGATCTTAAATGCATAAATGCATCGTAACTGATTGTACGTATTATTTAGTGATGTAGCCTATATATTTTTATGGATTCCTATGAGTGGTGCAATACTATATATCGATTTATTTAAAGTAGGCTATATTCAATAGAGAAAAAAAATAATGCAAACTGGAAAAGCAGGTCGGTATAAAGAAAGTAAATCAACTAAGGAGCTAAAAAAATTAAGTTAAAGAATTGTGTTTTGAAAGCATAAATCAGGACCCATTCTAGTCTCCACTGCCACTATTTGCCCAGAGCTGCAGCCTTTACAAAGTGTCTATCTTTTAAAGGTAATGAATCTTTAAACTTTCACTTAATATAAATTCACCCCAAACTGAATAGTATGCAATCATCCACTCAACCTTGCCACAACAAATTTTTTTATCTGTTGAACACAAAAGAAGTTATTTTGAAAAATGTTGGAAACCTGTAACCATTCACTTCCATAGAAGTGTTTACCAGTTTCAAAAATTCTTCAAAATGTTTTCTTCAACAGAAGAAAGGAACTCAAAATGTTTGGATCCATTTAAGGGTAAGTAAATAGAATAAATCATTTTGTGGGGGATTCACTGTCTTTTCTTTATTTCTTTAAATAAATATTAAACCTTACGTTGTTTTAGCTGTTAAAGAAAACCTGACTAATTGTGCCCATCTGTATCTGAGAGTCTTTTCGTTTCATGTGCCTGATAAAAAGGATACACATCTTGCATTAATGATAATAAACAAATAATAAACTTTTAATAGGAGGCTATACAGTATTATATTTGTGCATATATATTACATTAATCAGCCCTGAAGCCAAATATGGAGCTTATCTATCAAAATAACTAGTGATAAAGGTCTAAGTACACCCAAATCTATATGTTCTAGAAAAATATTAAATACAGATTTAAAGATATATTTTGCTTGACTTTAATTGTATTATCTTTAAGTTTCTAAATATGTTCGGCGACTAAAATATTATTTTAATAAATATATCTGTTTAATAAATCTGTTTTGTTTAAATGCACCAAAACACATTGCCTATATTCACCGAGAAATGGAGAAAAATATTTATTTCCAAAATGAGGTGTACTCAGTTATGCAGAGCACTATATCTGAATTGGTAAAATTAACTTAAGGAAAAAATAGTGGAAATTTGACTTGCATAATAACTATGTACACACTGCAAACACACATACTTATTGTGTTATGATAAACTATACATTTTATCTTAAGATAATAAAGTTTGCGATATGGCTTTATCTGTAATTGCCACAAAGCTTTAGCAGATTTCAGTGAAGTATGACCGCGGCTCTATGACGTTTGTTTTGAAAGCTCAGCCTGCAGCAGCAGAGCTCAAAACCAGAGAAATTCCTTTTCTCCCGAGACCTCAACTCTGTCCTTTTTTTTAAAACTGGCGGCCTCTTCATCAATGAGGCTTTTGTTCAGTGTTATTACTGGAGCAGCGGTTCGCTAAATGATGTCGATCCCAGTTGCTGAGTAATTGAAAACAACAAAAATGTCATTTGTTGAAGTTCAAGAATCTAAAATTATAACTAAAGCACCGCTGTGCCGTCAGCAGACAAAGAAGCTTCAGTAGCTAAAATGCATGAAGAAACAAATCAAAAACATGTGATCTTTGCAGCAAAATATGTTAATAAAAAAGCATTAAAAAGAACTTAACAGAAGCAACTCTATCAATGAGGGGAAAAGAGCAGACAATTTTAACCATAATGTATTGAAGCCCATTTTGACCTAAATCAGACACATTTAAGCAACCTCTCCAACTCCCCCCAAATGCGTATTAAACATATAATCATTTTAAAAATATGAGAAAGATTTTATATTTGCTACAGCACCAAATAATACATTTAAAAAAAGGAAAAAGTAACCCGATCTCACATTTACTCCATACATTTAGTATATATAGTAGTTGAAGTTCGATCAAAACCTTTCCTTAAATTGCCCTTAATCTATTGAACAACACCCATGTCATTCATTTCTTCATTTTCCTTTGGTTTAGTCCCGTAAATCTATCAGGGGTCGCCACAGCCGAATGAACCGCCAAATTATCGAGCATATGTTTTACGGATGCCCTTCCAGCTGCAACCCAGTACTGGGAAACTCCCATACAAACTCATTCACAGACTATGGCCAATTTAGTTTATCCAATTCAGCTATATTGCATTTTTTTTAGACTTGTGGGGGAAACCGGAGCACCCGGAGGAAACTAACGCCAACACGGAGAAAACAGGCAAACTCCACACAAAAATGCCAACTGACCCAACCAGCGACCTTCTTGCTGTGAGGCGACAGTGCTAACCACTGAGCCACTGTGTCGGCCTCCTTTGTCTTAAAATTTTTTTGAAATAACTAGTTTGATTCACTTCAATAATTGACTGTATGATTTCTTAACCCATATGAAGTTAAAGCTGTAGTATTGTTTTATAAACCTGTCGGAATGACACATTTTTGTAATTATACTAAAAAAATAAAAATAAAATAATTAGTTATAAATTACTATCTTAAATTAAATTTCATGAGTACCATCAGTAAAAGAAATGTGATGAGAAGTTTACAGAATAAAACAAACACAAACCCTATTCATTTTGAATATTCAAGAGGTATCTTTATATATTTTTTGGAAATGAAAGTGTCGTTTAGACAGGTTTATTTCTTAACGTACACACACAGGCCTGTCACAATAAACAATATATTAACGTATCGCACACATGGACATGACCTCAATCATTTTTGGTGATGCAATATATATTGCACATACATAAAAGCCAATTCCAGCAACGTTTGAGCTGATTGTGCAACATTTCTATCCCTATCAGAGGTGTCAGTGTCAGTATGGGTAAAAACACTCTAGTATTTACTATAAATGACTATAGTATATTTTCATGTGGGTGTCTGACAACTGAAAATAGATCTAGTAGAAGATATCACAGCCTCTGTTACTTTACCTTGCACTTATTTTGTTAACATTTATTATTTATTTATGATATGCGTTTTCATATTCTGATTCCAATGCCTAAATATTAAACTGTTAAAAATGACTATAATTAAATTAAATAGAATAAAAACTTCTGTCAGAAGAGTGTACTTGCGTTGTGATGATATTATATTGTTGTTATTCTGGCATTTTATATGGAGTGGCAAAAAAAATACTTAAAATGACAATAATATCGTTTATTGCAATATATTTTGATTTGATAAATCTTACAACAACAAAAATGACATCGTGACAGGCCTAGATATACAGTTTATTTGCAAAAACAACCACCAGTTTTCATAACTTCAAAATTCTAGTTTTCTGGAGTTATACACAGCATAAAACCATGATATCTAAACATTTGTAGTTTTGTTTTTGTAAATTAACTTTGCATATACAGTTGTAGTCAGAATTATTAGCCCCCCTGAATAATTTTTTTCCCCAATTTCTGTTTAACTGAGAGATTTGTTTTTTTTTAACCCATTTCTAAACATAATAGCTTTAATAACTCATTTCTAATTATTGATTTATTTTATCTTTGCCATGAAGACAGTAAATAATATTTGACTAGATATTCGAGACACGTCTATACAGCCTAAAGTGACATTTAAAGGCTTAACTAGGTTCATTAGGCAGGTTAGGGTAATTAGGCAAGTTATTGTATAACAATGGTTTGTTCTGTAGACTATTGAAAAAAAATTAGCTTAAAGAGGCTGATAATTTTGACCTTAAAATGATGTTTAAAAAATTAAAACCTGCTTTTATTCTAGCCAAAACAAAACAAATAAGACTTTCTCCAGAAGAAAAAACATATAAATATAAAAAACATTTAAATATTTTCATATTTAAAAACTGTCAATAATCACTAATGGAAATCTT